GAGACGGGCGATAAACAACGAGAGGCTGGGAAGATGCGTTGAGGAGCGGACAGTGGATCCGATGGCGCCGGGCACGCTGGGCTGGATTAGATCGATCGGCACCAACTCTTGGGGAGGGGGGCCTTATTGTAATCTGGCTTGCCAGGCCGATGCAACGCGCCGCGGCAATCGCATCCTAAGCGTCGTATCTCACTGCGCTGATCTGGACTGGAACCCGCCCCTCAGGCCGCGAGGTCCATCATGGCATCGGACACGCTCGATCGAGCGCCATCCACCCCACGAGGCGGCCGCGGTGATGCTTTCTCATCGGACGATCTGATCGCAGCGGGTTTTGCCCGCGTGAAGCGTGGGCGCGATCTGCATTCTGAGCGTGGCGCGTGGCCGATTGGCGATTGCGTGGCGCTGCGGGTCGGGGAGTTGGGTATGGGTGGGGGGGCCCTGCGGTGCACCATGGAAAAGCCTCTCTTGGTGGTGGTGGCGCACAGGCAGCGGGGAGGCCGATCCGTGGAGCAGGCTCTGCGCCACAGCGACGCCGTGGGCCGCGCGGACCGCACGGCCAGGCCCGCACGGGGACGTGCCAGCGTGGCGCGGCGCAGCCACCGTCCAGTCATTGCCGCAGGCGCTATGCCGGAATTCTCAACTTGTTCGGAGTCAGCCAAAGTACGAAGCCGGTGCTGGAGCACTGGCCAGTACTGTCCATGGACAGGTTGTGGGCCAAAGCGCTGCAGAGGTGAGTACGTGGTTTTGCAGTGTCGGGTGAGCTTGCGGCGCCAATACAAAGTCTCGAGGCGGGAATCCAGGTACTCCCGCAGTCAGCGAGTATGCATTGTAGTTTCACGCGAATGCAAGCAACAGTTTGTGCCATGAAACCCGTCGTGTATTTCTTCCAACTGTTTCGCTCCAACGAGTCGTTTGGCCCGGCAGGCTCTTCCATTGAGTTAGTCTTCGCCACGACCGTCCCGCCGCAGAAACAAGCTGTTGTACTGGGGGAGGTGCTCGCGGGCGAAAGCATTCGCGGATTCTGTGCGGAGAAAAGTTCGAGTGTGTGTCTTCACGGTTTTGGCCGACCTTGAAAAGTAGTACCCCTCGAAAGTCCTTGTCCCGGTGTGTGTGCTGCTTCGCCAAGTGAGCCATGTACTCCGCTAGGGGGCCTAGTGGGCTCGCATTTTGCGAATTGCAAACTGCTCACTTTGGGCCAAGAAACTGCCAACGTCCGAAGCCCTTGTTGTGTGCAGCCCCTTGGGCGTCCCACCTCCGTTGGCTGAGAAACGCGCGCTCCACCGTTGGCTTCGCTTTTGGACCATTGTGCCTCAGTCGGATTCTGCAGTCCTAGAAATTATTGGCCAAGCACTCGCTGGACAGCAGTATCACTGGACCAGAATGATCACAAGCGAGCGTTTTCACTTATTCGCTCGGCAGGCAAACTGCGAAAGTAGTCTCGCTTCATAGGCTTTCGACAAAAATATTTTTCCTCCACAAGTATGTTGCTGAACTGCACCTGACTGTGATCTGGACTAGCTCAACATCTTTGGGGTGACTTGTTTTCCATTGTCCATGACGAGGGAACAACGTGGCTGGTGGACAGGACGCTCAACAAGTTGAATTGTCTGTGCAAGGGAAATGTCTGCTTGTGGAACAGTGATCTGGAGATTTTGCCAATCGCTGCTTGGTTGCTTTTGCCCCTGTGATCACTTCAGGGTGCAGGGGTTTGTCAGTCTTGTCCCTTGTGAAAAACGTGATCCTTGGAATTGCCACCTGTAAGGCCCTGACCATTACGTTGTCAACTGCTCGGAGTCCTCCTCCGACTCCTTGGGCACTCCTATGCCGGTGTGCTCACACGCAAAAATTGCATTTCCCCGTTCTGATGCAGCCAGCAGCAATCCTGCAGGAACGCTTGCCAAGACATTGTGATGGTGGAACTGGAAAGGGGGGAATGGGGTGAGTGAACCGCCTGGCCACCGATAGTTCCCAACAGCGTCTGCTGCGTGTTTTTGTGATGGTGAATTTCGCGTTCGTGGCTGTCCTGCCCCCCGCAGCATGTTGCCATGCCATGCGGCGTCTGGGGTGGCATCGAAGTTCACAGCAGCGGTGCATCACGTAAAGTATTTAGAGCAGGGCTGAGAGTGCGAGCGTCGAGAAACCTGCTAGCAAGAGATGAAGAACAGCGATTTCACCAGGCCTAGGTTTTCATCGCGACCCATGGACCTGGATTGGTTGGATGCCGATGCACCATTCCATTGTTTGAGTCGATTATTGTTTGAGTCGATTATTAATCGCTTCCACAGCCCCCTTCAAAAGATGACTGGGAGCGGCAATTACAATATCTCGCCGCTGATCGGCCGCCCAGGGATTACACAACGCTCCAACTCAGCTGCACAGTAACCGCATATCACATCACCCACGGCCGTCCTGCGCCGCCAGCTGCGAGTGCGGCCCACCACTGGCCCATGTGCGGCTGTGGGGGTACGTACACATGCCGACCCAGACGTACATGTGCCCTTGGGCGGGGCCCACGGGCCCATCTGTAGCCCCAGGTACGTACAGTCTCCGACCGTTGTACGCCTGCAGTTTGCCGTGCAGCCCGCCGCCGCTTCGCAGCCACACGGCGGGCAACGGGCTGGCCACGCCGCTCAGCGCCAGCGCCTTCGAGGCGGTGCGCTAGCCCAGCGCGCCGCTTGTCCCCGCTCGGCATCCGATAGGGGTCGGCCCGGGCACGATTTGGCAGGATCCAGCCGCCGGACTCCGCTGCATTGAACCCGCTCGACTTGACGAGGTACGGCGGCGCGCAGGACGGATGTCGAGCAGATCGGCCGGGGGCATCGGCATCGAAGCGCCCCTGAGCGCGCAAAGGGGGCCGGGGTGCAGGGCGGGGTGGAAGGGGCGGGGCCCCACTCCGACGTTGGACCGGGCAAGGCGCCCGCTGGCGCACCCTCGGCCAGCTTGGGCCACCAGCCAACCGCCGCTTCAGCCACGTTTGTCACGTCCCCGCGTGTCTCACTGGCAGAGGCCTGTGGCCCCTCAGGCGCCACGTGGCCCCCTGCGCCCCTACCGGACGCACCACGCCACCCCACAGGCCCGTTGTGGGGCCCACGTGAGACATGTCCGTATGACGCGCACTGATGGCAAGCAGGCGTTGACGCGGTCCAACAGTAAAACCCGCGACCTGCGCCCCGAGATGACGAGGAAGGGAGGCCGCCTTGGACGGGTTGGCGAGGCAGGCCCGGGGAGACGGCGGCCCCTGGCGGGTGTCGTGGACGGGAGTGCCGTGGCCGACCGCCGCGGGGATCCCGCCCGCGAGCCTGGGGGTCCCCGTCGGACGGGGCTGGAGCCAGCCGCCCTCCCCGGCCTGTTTGCGGCCACCTGTCCTCGGCGGAGGCGGTCGCGGCGCCGGAGTACGGTATCTCGGGGCGGCGTAGAGGGCGCGGTACGGATCTTGATGATTTTCCTTCCTTCGGGCATTAGGGGGGCGGAGACGGAGATGAAGGGGGTGAGGGCGGGGGTGGACGCGAGGGGCGTTGCGTGTATGTGGAGCGTGGCGTCGAGCGGGGTTGATTGGCGGCGGCGGGTGGGTGGGTGGCGTGGGGGGATGGCCGGCGTTTTGGCGCCGGGGCTCGCTGAGTCTTGTATTCCGGGGCGTGATGGGGCCTGGGAGGGCTCGGGCGGGGCTGATCGGCGGCGTCGAGGTCGGCAGAGACAGCTCCCCCGGCGCTTGGTCGACGCAGACCGGCGCGGCCGGCCCGGCGGTCTTCGCGGGGCGCTCCGCTGCGCTCGCGGGGCGCGCGTGCCACCATATCCGGGGTCGCGGTCGCTGGCTGGGCAACCTCTTGATGGGCGCAATAGACGGTTAGGTCGGCTTGCAGTGTGGCGCAGCGCGACCTCGCTTGTGTGTGCGCGTTGTGCGCGCTGTGCGTGGCCTTGCAAGCAGAGTGGCCCGACGCGCAGCGATTGCCGAACGCTGGGACGCGCCCTGGGCCGCGACGCCGCTCCCCCACGGCCACTCGACTCTCCCGCCTTCAGCGCAGACCGCTGGCAGACCAACTGCCCGCTAGTTGGACCCGATTTCCGCTTCAGCGCGCTGCTTTGCGCGGCAACCGCCTCGCCCCACATCGTAACCAACGCTGGCCGCCCCTGTATTCCAGGACGGACCCCGGCGTGTTCGAGCCAACCCAGCCCGCGGGGGTCGTCGCCGACGCTCATCACCGGTCTTGACGCCTCCCTGCTCCGCCATTGCACCACCCGATGGAGGAGGCCCGCGATCCCAGGAAGGGGATGACCCTCTCCAGGAGCCCGGGCATGGGGCGCTCGAGGTCTAGGACGCCCGACGGCACCCGCGCCCGCCAGTCGTGGATCGTGACCAAGGCCCAGGGCCGGCACGCGTTCCCCTCCGAGACCCGTGGGCAGCAGGGAGATCGGGATTCCCGCCGCCCTCGCTCCCGCTCCGGCGACAGGAGGGGGGCGTCGTCGAGGCGGCGCTCAACCGAGCGGCGCCAGCCGCCCGAACTGGCGGTGGATCGGCTTACCAAGAGCACTTCGGCATGGCTGGGCTGCCAGGAGCAGGAGGACCTGGAGATGGTGGGCATGTGCGGCAGGCGACCCGGGCACCGGGTCCCGCACTCGAGGAGGGCCGCGGGGGGGAGGGACGGCGCGGTGCGCGTCAACAAAGGTATGCAGGAGGCTGAATCCGATGAGGCGTCTCCCGGGAGGCACATCCACGACTCAGTTGGGTCGATCGTGCAAAAGGGGGGCGGGTCCGGGTGCCAGAGGGAAGGGTACTTCTCGGACGAGTACACCAGCCCCAAGCTGGCCGCCCACCCGCGCGGGGGTTCGTTCTACATCCCGGACTCTAGGGCCGGCCGCGGAGCAGGGAAATCTGGCGATGCGGGCGGGGAAACGGACAGGAGCAGGGATGGGGAGGTGGAGTCGGATTGCAACGAGCTGAGCTTCAAACCCGGAAGAGAGAGCTCCGGATCGCCGGACATGTTCTGTCCCACCCCGCGCAGGAACCCGGGGCGGGCGAGGGGGTACGTGGGCAGGAGCCCGGAGCAGGATGGTTCCGACTGGGGGTGCGACTCGAGGTGCGGATGGGCGGATCCCCAGCTGTCGGCCAAGCCACGCCGGAGGGCGGAGGGGGGGATGCGGGAGGAGGGCGGGAAGTATGGGGCGGGGTTGAGCCCGGTGAAGAGCGGCCCTGACATGGTGCGAAGGAGCGTCGGGGACCGCCCCACGCCGAGGGGCGACAGGTCGCCGTCCCCCTTCGACGTGATGAAGACGGCGCCGGAGATGCACGTGAGCTCGAGCCTGATGGGCACTCAGGAAATCCTGCGCACCAACGACCTGATGAGGACGGCGGACCTCAGGTGCGCGTCGCTTTTCCTCCTTCGGCATTCCGCAGGATTCGAAACATTTGTGCACGGACCGTGCTGATGGACCATCGCCTCCGCTGCCTTGGAAGGTGCAAGTCCAGTGTTGCTTTCCTTACGTTTTGCTCTGTTGTTGTGTTTGCGTTGCAAAAAGGCGACTTGAGCCTTGCTGCATGTGTGATCTGTCTGACTGTTTTCCAGGTGGGACTTTCTGCAGTCGACCGACGTTTGCTGGGACCTCAACTCCCGGGACGCGGAGAGGTTGACCCCCGGGGCCCAGGGCCGCTGGACAGAGTCTGGACGACCTGGTGTGAGGCACCGATCCCCAAGCACAGGGGCACAACCAGTCACACCACACAACCTGCCCCGCATGCCCAGCAAGGACAAGAAGCAAAAGGGGGGATTCATCAGCAAGTTGCTGGCCGGGTGCTGCAGACCAGAGAGCGTGATGTATGATGCTCCAGCCAGGGCCCAAGGTTCGCTGCCAGTGCCGGAATTCCCACTTGGAATGCAATGAAATTCCACTGAAACGCCATTGCAGGGAAGAAATGGTCAACTAAAGACTGTAAAGTACTGAGCCTTGTGCCATATTCCAGCAATAGTGTTCTGATTGCATCTGTCGCAAACACACAAGAAAGGGAGCCCATGCACCTTGACAGGTGTGGATGTTTTGGGCAGCAACCGAATCAAGTTCCTTTGTAACAAAGATATGATCATTGATCGAAACATGACAATAGTCACTTGGTTAGGCATCCCTGCCTTGCTTTGCGAAATGGACACTCAACTGGGAAGCTCATCCTGTTGCAGCCCACTTGTGTTTTCCAAGGTGGCAATGCCATGCCAATGCAAGTGTGCGATGTGTTGTTGCCTTGACATACCCATCTGCTACGCCTTTGCGCCCATCACATGCTTTAGAGTACTCGGGCAAGAAGGTTCTAATGTGTTTTGGGGTATCAACCAACTTGCCAGCTTGCTCCATTCCGCGTGGGTGGGTGCCATTTTTTGCTTATCTGCCACTTCACCACAACAACGGTTGCATCCACGCATTGCTTGCCCTGTTCCTTCTCCTCTGTACTGACCCTCGCTGAGCATCCAGACGCTCCTGGTGCGACCCTTTGGCCCCCTTTGCTGTCACCATGCCCCTGATGCACTGAAGCGGCTGTGCGCTGTGCTTCGTCCCTGCAGTTCCACAGCAGCGGCGGCCATCTTTCTTTGCCCACCGGCAGCCCACTGAGCGGGAGGCCACCCTCCAAAGGTTCGCCACTCGACAGAAGTTCATGGTCAATCTCATCGAGGAGGAGCGATTCAACCCCAACGGCTCGGCGCGCCAGCAGTGAGCAGCTGGCCCCGGCACTGGCCGGCATAAAATCAACCGTTGGCGTTGGCTGCACGGCAGGCCAACCGTTTCTGAATGGCAGGCCCCTGGGGACTTGCCATTGAGTTGTTAGACATTACCCGCGTTCCGTCGTGGGCAGCTGTGTAGTATGTTACGACTAGTTATTAGTGGGGGGTTGGAACCGCTTGAAGGGTGGGTGGTGAGCAGCCCAAAGGAGGAAACGAGTTTATGGGTCAGGCCAGGTCAGGAACTGGGCATTGCGAGCTGTATCATAAGGGCGCACACGACGGTTGCGTCCGTGTGGACCTCGGTGGTTTCTTTGATTGCAAGGCTCCCGTGCGCCACTGGTGGAAGCGAGAGGTGGTGCAATCACGACTGGCTGTAGCGCATGGCGACTCTGCTTGTGCCTGTGCCCTCCGGAGCAGCGCATAAAATCTTTCACTGGCGTTTTTTTTTCTTTTTTATTGTCTCACGGACTCGGCGATTGGGGCGCAGGACACTGGATTGATGGGATTGTTGTTTGCCCGCGGCGACCCGCAGACGCGCGGTTTCAGGGCGTTTGGTGTGTCGGACGGGATTTTTTTTTCATTGTTTCGCTGCCCAGTCGGCTGTCCGTCAGTGGCTGAGTCGTCGACGACTGCGTGTGTACAGGCCAGGGGCCCTCTCTTTCCTTGTCCCTTTTGCGCATCTTATTGGGCTCGTGGCCTTGGCTGCCATCGACGTCCTTGCCCCGGAAAAGCTGAATTTGAGGTCTTGGCTGATTCGTGAACGGAAGGGGCAGGGCTAGTTGGGATGCAGGCCATGATGGGCAAAGAAGGGGCGTTGCGAAACTAGTTACGGGTGACGGCTTGAGGACATCCTGGGCGACGGTCTTCTCACGACAAAGGGCGGCTTCCGTCCAGAAAGAGTCGATGCTGTGGCAAATCGGTGCACATAGTTTCTGGGCTGTGCCTGTCGGTAAGCGCCGTCCAGCCCCCTTGCGTGACGCGAACTGGGGAGAGCACGAAAAAGAAAGACTTTTGGTTCTGTGTGGATGGCCTTATCCGGCCCGTCTTGATGGCACAGGACTTTGGACACGAAAGGGTGTGTTTTGTTCATAGGACGCTCTGGCTCCTGGGTGCGCCACGAAAGGTTAAGTGTCTGCCTATGAGCAGCACTGCTCGCCGTTCTGAGCGCGCCAAGCTGACGCTGACGAGAAGATGGATGGCAGATGGTGGCTCGCACCAGATAGGGCAGGTGAATAAGGTATCTTGCGCAGGGCGTGATGAACAAAAAGCACTGTACAAGTTGTAACGGAGGAAATTGATGATGTTTTTCTATTTGTTGAGTTCTTGTTGCCGTTGGGGACACGTTCCTGTTGAGGACACTGTCGCGCCCTGGTCACCTTATGCACTCTGTGGTTCAGCAGACAGGTTGCTTCTTCGTGGGGTGGGGTGGGTTGGCTGGGGGGGAGGACGCTTGCAGCCTGGATCAGTGCGAACCGGAAGGATGTGAGAGCATTCGTATTATGAATGTGAATACTCAGACGTACTCTCGTGACTGTGAATATGAATTGCATAAATAGGGGAAACCGAGAAGGTCGCAACAATTCGTCTGTCGATATTCCGTTCTCGCAATGCACCACTAGTCAGCCAGGCACCTTCTCCTACAACGCCGCGCACTGCTGCAACGCTGTCGCCATATGACCACCATCCTTCCGTACACAGCAGATTGCGTTCCGTTTCTCAAGCACATCATCTCCGTATTCGGCAACCTCATCAGAGAAGGCCATCACGAGGTTCAACCACCTCAAGAACCGAAGAACGTCTGGCATAAGCGGACGATCATCGCAAGCCGGCGTTCGGCAATTCCGCAATCGGCGAAGACCGTGACTGATGGCAGTCATGCTACTTGCTAGGGGAACCACCGTGCAACAGGCACCGCGGCGGAGAGGTCATTCGGATGCTTGCCCCAGGGATGGCCCACATGATCGCCACCACGACACGATCCGCCTGCACCTCCATGGCGCCCACTTCACGTCTGCCATTCCTCCATGCTGTTCAACTCTGGACATACTCGTCACAACATGTACCATCAGCAGGCCCGCAAGACAGGGCGGCCATCCTACCAACCGCTTTGCCAACAATCGTTTCACTGCACTTGTCAAGAACGGACAAAATACAACCCTTTTCCCCAGAGGGAAAAGCGCCAGGCGAGATCAGGCGATGCCAGGCATGCGTCCGCATGCAGACTGTCCAAATACAAACACCATGAACATTAAGGTCCAGGTCAGTCAGTCCGCTTGGTCTTGTGGACACATACGCAACGCAGGGAACAGAAATACCCTGCGCTGCACCCTGCTCTCCTCCCTCCGAATGCAACACTCTTTGCTGCTCCTTGGAGACTGTCATCAAGGGTTGACGCTCCATGGACCATCACTCAGTGCGCACTTTGGTTCAAATCCCTGCCTTTTCAGCAATTTATTTTCGGGGTTTAGGGTGCAAACTAGATGAAGACAGAGTAATCGGATGCTTATGCTCCTCGCTTTCCTGCTGTCTTCCCATCCCACAGCGTCTTCCTATGACTCGCCGGCTGGCCTGCTTGCCTTTGCCAGGCGCAACGCCGCCTGGTAGGCCCTCTTGCGCCCAACGCCCAGTTCCCTTGATGCGGCCTTGACGGCCTGGGACAGTGGCTCACCAGCCGCGATCCTCTGCTGCAGCTCCATTTCCAGCACCTCAGCAGGCACGTCGCTGTCCTGGGAGGAGGGGCCGGCTCCCTCAATCAGCAGCGTGATCTCTCCGACCGTTGCCTCGCCATGAAAACGACGGACCGCCTCCCCAAGAGTGCTGCGGCAGAATTGCTACAGAGGCAAGACGCCCATCAGCCAGCAAGTCAAGAAAATGGCACACCAGCACGGGATTGAAGCCATCAGCTCTGTGCGTTGCCCGAGGAAAGGAGTCCCAGTTAATGGTTATGGTTAACCTGGCGTTCTGCAGTCAATCAGGCGCTGTCGAAGCTTTGGCCACCAGCATGATACTGGCGATGTATGAATGGATAATCTATTCTTACATGGGAACAAAATTCAGGAAAGTCGGGAAGCCTGCTTGTGCAGGCACACAATGGCTGGAGTGGCTTAGGCTTTGGGTGGAGAGTGTGTGTTATTATTGTTGTTTGCTGCAGGTGCATCGACAATTCAATGTCATTACCACTGCTGGCCCAAAGCACATACCCTATGTGCATGTGCACTTCCAATTCCTGCAGCACATTGCAATGATACATCTATTTAAAGTTGCAAGAAAGTGTGTTCATTGCCCTGCTCCAAGACAACAGTGCAATGCCATGTGAGCTTGTTAAGGCATCAGCACATGGGTTCCAATGGATGGGTTGCCATGGACATGGTCGATCCAACACAGGCTCGATTCATGCGCATCATGATTTTACCCCTTGTTCGATCACCCCCGATAATTATTCTTCATGAGAACCACAGGAAGTGCACTTTGATTATGTACATGACAGGCACAGCCGGGACAAAGATATTCAGTGCTGGTGATATGGGCTGTCCGTAAGGCAAAGGTGGACTGACGATTGACGAGCTGAGCACAAGTACCTGAACAGGCTTTACAAATGCCCATGATCGCAGTGTATGGAGGCATGAAGAGTCAATGCTGGATGCTAGAGCAGTGGTTGCATGGAATTGTGTGTGGGGCACGTGTTGATGAACATGGGACAAATTGCCGAATCGCATACACCTCTGAAATTTGTGGTGTATCTTCAGAGAATTGTCCTTCAGTCAAGCATCAGAGCATGACTGCACTGTTCCCTTCAGAAAAGAAATGCACCATCGACTTCTATCGATGAAGGGGTCCTTAATGGCTGCTGCTAACAACGTACCCTGTGGAACAGAGCACTCTACTTTTTGTGCTGGATCCTTTCCTCATTGCTCTCACATAACACAAGGCATTTCATTCAAACAATCAGTCAACAACTGCAAGACAAAAAAGAGCAATTGGCTGTTCCCGGAACATTCTTGCAATGTCACACAAGCAGTGCAGAAAGGCGGAGGCACCACAAGCAGCCCTGAGCAAGCTTTCACATCCGCCTGATTAGCACACCTCATGGATCTTGGTGAGCTCCCTTGCCACACAGCATCGCCTATCAGCCCCCAGCACATCCATACAGTCTTGCAGGACAGACTGCAGGTCAGGGGGAGGAACATAGAATATGAGCGTGGCCTCGATACCCTGTACAGACTTCAGTTTACGTACTCTGGGACCTGCCAGGAAAGGCACAACATCGGAACAGTGTCTACAGAGAGGCCTATGCTACAGTTGCGATGGGAAAAGAAAGTTGAATACTTCTTGGTGAATGGTTGTCCACTAAAAACAGGCACGCAAAATGCACAACACTCGTCCTGTCTGGTGCACCGATGAGCCCGTATGCGACCTGTGACTTGTCAACATGTTGCACCCCATGGCATCCAAGGAGTACAATTCTGTTTGGTCCCAAGAACACACAGTTTCTTGTAACTGAGTTGGGCAACAATATACAAAGGGTAGTGCAGATATAACTCCATGCCAATATTCAATGCACTCCATGGCAACAGGATATGCATTCATGATCTGTGCACACACAGCTTGCTTGTCATCGCCCATGGTATGGCCAAAAATACCTGAAACAGTAGCAACAATATCTGATGTCTAATTCTGGTGCCTTGTGCTCTTCACCATGGATTGCAGGTCAGCAGCTGCAGTCAACCAATAAAACAAAATTGGCTTGTCCAGACAATCCTCACCTGCCTGAGCACTGCCAACAGCACATCAGCGCTTAACTCAGGCGATGGCTCATGCAGAAACTCAACATGGGACATTATGGAAAAAGTGTCAAAAATGGCAAGGTTGAGAAAAGCAAACAGCATGGGGTTCAGGGAAACAGCACCTGACTTTGAGGGCAGGAACCCCATGAAGTAGAAGTCGTCTGTGGGCAGGCCGGAAGGCAGCAGTGCGGCGATGGCTGCGCACGGTCCTGGCACAGGGATCACCTTCACCCCAGCTTCAATGGCTGAGGCTATGAGTCTGGCCCCTGGGTCGCTTACTCCTGGTGTGCCAGCAGAACAGACGAGGGCCACTGCCTGACCTGTGCATGGAAGGGTCAGCCCAAATCCAGGTCACAAAAGGGAGGGAGCGAGAGATACAAACCAAGGAATGATTTTTCCGAAGTATGTGCACACTGCCCTTGTGACTGCAAGACGATGAGGGGCGTAAATCCACCAGCACTGTCTTGTGGACAAATTTTGCTCACATCCAAACACTCCAAAATTCAGAGCAGAACAAAGATAGGAAAGAAAAGTCTCATCTTGAAGTGGATGTGAGTCAATGGGAACTTCAAGCTGCGAGATTCAGTCGATTTCTGTGACGTGACACTAGTGGGCCAACTGCTTTGCATTCTCCATGGTGCAAACAAAGCTGTTTGTGGGGGCTGACCATCCAAGTGAAGAGGAAGAATATCCATCTGGATGCATTTCACCATATAGGACAACAACTACCCTTGCACAGCCTAGGGATGGCAAGCATAATTCCCTGAACATTGCTTGCTCCAGAATGGCCATCAGAAAAGAGAGCAAAGGAAGGACAACTACTCATTCATGCCTGGGCTCAAAGAGATAAACTGGGCAATGTTGCTTGCATCTGCGTCGAGTCACCTGCCAATGCCAATTTGGGGTGTGGGGCAGGACCAGAGGAGGCTCGAGCAATGATTTCTACTTTGTCTGGGACGATAGTATGCTATTAAAAAATGGGGAAATCCCACATCCCAAGCCTGACTTCTGTGAAATTCTTTATTGTATGGCAGAAAGCGATGCAGAAGTCTAATTGTTCAACTGGGTGGCATCACAGTGCACTGGAACAGAATTAGCAAGGGAAGCATGTTTCTGCTAAATTTGAGCAATGCAAGGATGTTTGTTGTTTATCAGTTTTTGTCTCATGATGCTGTTGCACTTGGTGCAACCTGGTTGGAATGCACCCTTTGGGACTAATTTGATAAAGGCGAAACAAATAATTGATTATGTTGTTGTGTATATTAGGAAGGAAATGAGTTACGGAACAGATTGACTGATTGTCAACTGAGTCTTGGACTGGCTTTGGTCGTATGGCTATTTGCAGGGAACTGAACAACGAGGCACATGCAATGTTTCGAACGTGCGTAGGCCCGTCATCGCTTTCCAAGCTGCAAGTGCCCTGTTGTGTCCTGTGGAGTCGTGTGCAGTTGCAGTTCATTCGCTACCACAACAATATTGTGCGTTCAATTCATGCGGCCGCTGCAATCATCACCCCAACTGTAGCTGATTCATCTTCACAATTGACGGCTATACACAATACAATTTTGTTAAGTATTCATTCAAAATGCACTTGCCCAAGTCAGCAAGACAACAACAACAATCCATCAAGCAGCTTAGTCGGCCGTCCCGCCACCCCCTCCCCAGATTATACCAGTCCCTCTTCCGTGTGGATCCCTTCTTCTTCCGCCGACAAGGCCAACGCCGGTGAGTGGGTCAGTGGTCTAGGGTTTATGGTATCCGGAAACACGATGGGATCCACACGAAAAGACAGGGCGACTAGTCTCATGCCCCCCCCCCCTCCCCCACCGGCCTACCTCTCCCCTGGCCACCCTGGCAGCCACTTCCGCCGCCCTCCCCGCCTCGTTGCGCCCATGGCAGCTGCGCATCTCCGCCCGCAGCCCGTGCACGCTCATCAGCTTGGCCGTGTGCCGCGTGTCCTCCGCCAGTACGCACGACGCCCGGCGCAGGGTCTCCAGCGCCCGCAGCGTCACATCCCCCAAGTTGCCGATCGGCGTAGCCACAACGTGCAGGCCCGGCTCCAACTGCCGATCTTCACCTTCATGCTCATTGTCGTTTTCGCCTCCCGGGGCAATCGAGTAGCCCCGCTGAGCCGAACTGGGCCCAGGCGTCGACCGAGGCGAGAGCCTGGATCCGCCGTTCATCGCGAAGGGGCGCATCATCATCCTCTTCGCCGCGAGATCAGTTTCTTTCGGCGAATGTCTCAAACCGCTTGCGCCGGGCATGGCGGGTGGGGCTCGACGTCCAGCGGGATTCGGCGGCGCCGAATGGGGAAGGGCTACCGCCGACATCGATGCCTGGGGCCCGAGGTCGCCGGGGTCGCACGCGATCGGCCCGGGAGGACGGTGCCGCGCAATTCCGCAGCGCACGGGGCCGGGCCATCCCGGATGCGCCCTGCCGGCCTTGAGCACACTTGAGGCCGACGCGCGCATGAGGGGGTGGGTGGGAGGGACGGGTTGACAGTCTCTGCCTGCCGCGCCAGCTAAAGTCGGCGGGCGGCCAGCCCCGAGCCTCTGAGGTTGGGGGCCAGAGGAGGAAAACGAAGCAACGGAATACGGGGAAAAGGGTAAAACGGGACGGGACGAAAAAGTACAAGGGTCCTTATATGGCGCACCCGCGTGGCATGGGCCAAAAAGGGGGCGCTATTGGGGGCCGGGGGCGCTATTGGGGGCCGGGGGCGCTATTGTGTTGTTAGGTGGGGTACCCCAAGCAGCAGGTGTAGAGGGTACCCTAGCCGACGGTGTAGGGGGTACCATGTCCGCCAGCGTAGGGGGTACCATGGCGGCCGGCGTGGGGGGTACCTTGCCCGCCGGTGCAGGGGATACGCTACACCCGGCCTGCCAGGTCCATACTGGCTTTGGTGCAAGCGAGTTACTGCATAAGTAAAAAAGTTCGCGCGGAAAAAATTTCGCGCATTTCGCGCGGAAAAAGTTCGCGCGGGAAAAAGTTCGCGCAGTCGCTCGAGCGCGAAATGCGCGAACTTTCTTCCCGCGTGAACTGTTTTACTTTGTTCGAGTACCATGATGTTACAAACAGCTGACAAACACCGCCAGGAGGGTGTCTACGCTTGGGAACAGCAATATGGCTCACCGTCCAGCCATATACGCTCAACGAAAGTCACTAATGACACAGCCACTATTACAGCCCTGTCAATCGCCCAGCATTTCTGAGCGTTCCGCTCCTGCACTTTTACCAACTTAGTTCATAAACACTCACAGGACAACGAGAATCACCACAGCAAGTAAATTCAAGCCCAACAGGATACTTGGGGTGTGGTCGAGCGCTGCCGAAGCGAGGCGCAACCCCAGAGCTGAACTTCGTGTTCAAGTTCACCTTAGCCGTTCACATACAACGAGAAACATGCAACTGCTTACCAGCTCGACGAGAGGCACGAAAATACACGCTCAAACTGCGAAACGATGCTCCACACCTCGCTCAGTAGCTCAGTATGACGAGCGTACTGACCATTAATGGTCAATAGGCTGACTGAGAGAATATTCTCCAGATGTCTCAAACCGATGTCGTCGATGCTCGTTCCTTGCGGTCCAGCGCTGCGCTCCACTCACTCGCCAAGCAGCGGACGATGAAGACGGGTCGTTGAGTCGACGAAGTCAGCGCCCAACGTGGGCGCGCGCGGGTCAGTCGGTCAACGGAATGGGAATCGAGCTCGGCGTCGAGCTATGGGTATGTGCAGCGGTGCACAACCCCAAGGACAATTGACCCGGAGGGTCAGGAGGCGAAGGCACACGGAAACGAAAGTGCTCGTTACACAGCTGCTCCCCTTCGACCACGTTCGACCTCCACACACTCACAGCACGACCGTTTTTAACAGAGCACCCGCCGTTCAGACCGCCAGAACCAAAAACGGACGGGTGGGGGGCGGAGAGAGAGGGGAGAGGGGGCACCCACACCCCAAACACTCCCTCCTAAATACCCCCGCCAGCTCCAAGGGCACTACACTTCAGTGACCCTTGGATAAACAAACAGACACATCAAGGAAAAGGCCCCATTACCCCTAGTACTCCTCAGAAGTTCCCATTGACCTTCTCCAAGTTGACCCTTTCCAAAGGGTCACACAATACAATCAAAAAAGTCACTTGTGAACACTACAGCACTACTCAACACCCGTCAGCGCCCCTTGGCAGTACTCCCATGAAAATGTACTGCTGTACATCTTCTTCCCACTCACGCTGTGAGGAACTAATGGCAGTAGGTTCCTGAAACATCAAATTAGGGGGAATCCCCCTATTCAAACAAAAAATACACCTAGTACATTTTTCATCCCAATTACACCCATCACACCCCACAGTTCCGTAGTATGTATTGTCTCCCGGCTGCCTAACCCATTCCACCTCATTCTCCCCCATGTACGACATGCGGGCCCTCAACTGTACCCCCTGCATCATCCAGCTTCCTTTTGGGCCTGGCAGCTCCACCTCCCACTCAGTCATTACGTAACATTTCCAACGCGACGCGGCGACCACCCTCCAGTACGCCCGGGTGGCGCGCTCCACTATCCCCACCGGCAGCCCCCCGTCTCCCTCGGCGAGGCCGCCCATGCACCCCTCCCCGGCCCACGCGAACGGCGCGGGCGGGCTGTCCGGGCCGCCGCACTCGGCGGCCATCCAAGCATCTCGCTCGGAGGTGCTCCAAACTCCTTCGCCTCGCCAATTCGCGGCGAATACACTCCGCCGAAGTCGATCGCCCAACCGGACGTTGGGGATCGCCGCAACCTAGTAGGCGTGAACGGCAAACAGCTGGCGTTCAGGTGTCTTACTCGCCACCGAGTCGTGGCATCAAAAGCGGAATGGAGCCACAAGTGGGGCGTTCCGGGGCCGGAGGCCATGGCCCATGCCTCCGCCCCACCGAGCCCATTGCGGCACGCGAGCACCACTTTGCTCGCTTCGTCCGGGCCGACCAAAGGCTCACCCGGGCCCCTTCGTCCCTGCGTGCACGGATCCACAAATATCCCCGGAGGGAGAGAAAGCACCGCTCCGCCATGGAGCATGGCGGAACCGGAGGGTCCGCCCACACCGAATGCGAGCACGTTCGACCCGCCTGCGGAACGTGGGGATGCTTCGGCCATGGCGAGGGAGGGCTTCCGACGGTTCCTGCATGGTCGGGGAGGCTGGGGTGTTGCGGCGCGCCGAGCAGACCGGGCAGAGCGGGCGTAGGTGGGGTGCAGGCGCAACCCGCGCGGACCAGAGGTGGCCACCCGGATCCGTTAATAACGGACGAGGGTGCCGTCCGTTAAATATCCGTTAATTTAGCGGACCCCGCTCTCTCTCTTGCTGACGTGGCACGGATGGCAGCGGACGGCTGGTGCCAGTCAGCGGACTCTGCGGATTCCGCTTGGGCGTTAACGGATATTTTCCAGCGGACCGGAAGCCGCGCACCCCATCCGCTAATTTAGCGGATGGCAGCGGACGTGTGTGCCGAATCAGCGGATGACAGGCAGTAAGTACTGATTTCCGAATCTGCGGATCGGGTTGATTGCCAGCGTGGCTCAGCCAGCGTCCACATACCGCGGACCTTATTTGGTCGCTCTTCTGGTGCTGCCGCAGTCTCCAACCCTTGCCGCCCCACCAGCCACACCATGGACCCGGCACCTGCCGGGCCAAGAGGTAAGGCATACCGCGCGGCGCGCGCACGGGCGGCAGAACCAGAAGCCAGGGCAACGCCCTCAGTACCGCCGACCTGGCGGGAAATTCCGGGCCGCGCGGGGTGTTGGGGGGGGGGCTCGGATGTTCTGTTGGCCGAAAACCTGTCTGTGGCCGGATGCAATCCGCCGCTGATGCACAGGCATACCGCGCTATCCTGCTTTCTGGCCAGGGCAACGCCCTCAGTACCGCCAACCTGGCGGGAAAATCCGGGCCGCGCGGGGCGTTGGGGGGGGGGGCCTCGGATGATCTGTTGGTCGAAAACCTGTCTGGCCGGATGCAATCCGCCGGTGATGCTCAGGCATAGCGCGCTATCCTGCTTTCTGGCCAGGGCAACGCCCTCAGTACCGCCGACCTGGCGGGAAAATGCGGGCCGCGCGGGGTGTTGGGGGGGGGGGGGGCCTCGGATGATCTGTTGGCCGAAAACCTGTCTGGCCGGATGCAATCCGCCGGTGATGCTCAGGCATAGCGCGCTATCCTGCTTTCTGGCCAGGGCAACGCCCTCAGTACCGCCGACCTGGCGGGAAAATGCGGGCCGCGCGGGGTGTTTGGGGGGCGGGGGCTCGGATGATCTGTTGACCGAAAACCTGTCTGGCCGGATGCAATCCGCCGGTGATGCTCAGGCATAGCGCGCGCTATCTTGCTTCCTGGCCAGGGCAACGCCCTCAGTACCGCCGACCTGGCGGGAAATCCGGGTCGTGGGGGGTCTCGGATTATGTGTGGACTTTGGAAGCCTGGTGGCACATGGCCGGGTGGGAAGATCATGGTCGGGGTTTGACTTCATTCCGGGATTTTACCTGCGACCCTCACCAACTGTGTTGCATTGTAGGTGCGACCAGCGCTAAAACGGAAAGCAGGCAGGGACGCCTTCGACATGAGGGACGTGTAGGTGCGGTGGACGTGTACCTCTGTGCAGCAAGCCTGAGTGTCGCCTATTGTGGCTGGGTGCTATAGAGAACATCGTGGGAAGTCGGGTACAATCGCAATGTTGATTCTAAGGCTGGTAATCCAAGGCTTGTATGCCTCTGGCTGGAAACCATGCATCCATTCGGGCACCTACTGTCCTGCGTATAAGTTGGAAATGTACTTAACATTGTGTGTGGTGTTGCAGCCTCACCAAGCTACGTCAATGCAGATCCACAAACCATCGGGAGGGGGATGGCGAGCACAGAGGAGCAGCAAGACGAACCCTCACTTGGTGAGTGGATTACCACTACACTTGCAGAACCGTATTTTGTTGTCGTCTTTGGCGGCTGTGGCTGTGTGTGTTTGTGGGTGGGTAGGGTGCTGCACCATTCTGGCATGGCCACCTCGTTGCTGGCAGTACCCGCCGTCACCTGGCTGGGGAAACCTTGGCAGTTGGTTCCTTCCATGTGGCCATGCACTGCACAGGGTGCACCACTTGTCGCTGCAATACCCATCGTCTTTGCTTACATGCCACCAACATTATTTGGCAGTACCCGCCGTCACCTGGCTGGGGAAGTCTTACCACTTTGTTACTTTTA